TGGTTAATTTTAAGTAGTTCTTTTGGAAACTATTCAACATACATTGGCATTCATTTGGAATCCAATTGAAGTATTCTGATTTCAGATATTAGTATTTTCCGTTAAATAGTGGTTATTACGATCATATATTTGATCAAGTTGATGAAAGTCTAAGGGAAGATAGATGATGTTCAGGTATATCCTCACTTTCAATTTTCTCTAGAATAGTACTTAGACAATAAACTATTGAAAATGGATATGAAACTATATTTACTATTATATATGACTTGTATTAAATAATTGTTTGAATAAAGAATAATACACCTACTGAGATAGAAACAATTCTACTATAAAATGATTCGAATGAATTTCGCCAATCAATTTTCTCCTCAATACATTTAAACACTTTAAAGCCATGGAATTTACATTGAATATTTAATGAACCACTTAATAGTTGTAACTGTCTTTTATTGTATAAAGCAATTTGGAAAATGTTTGCATATTTGAAAGATTTTTATGAACCTAAAAGTTGGAAATGCTTAATGAAGTACTGTTGTTAAGATAATTTTGAGTTTTGAATTTAAATACCACACATTTTGTTTTGTAACAATTGAATATTGTGGCAACGTTTATTTCAAATTCTAGATGTACACTATTAAATTGTCTCACTTTAAGTAATAAAAAGCGTTATATCCCGATGAGAATTATGAATGGAAACTCTTGAGAACTATTTATAGATCAATACGATACAAATATTTTTATTACATAATTCTTAAGTGGTTAAACTATGCATATTCATAATCCTTTTATTATAAGCTTTATTTTAACACATAGACTATTTTTATACGATTTACCGTTCTTGACTTCTGCCCAATCTATTAATTGCAGTCTCCCGCATTCACAGACACTTTTGGCTAGATCTTGTACAAAAGTTAATTTCTATTTAGTGGTAAGATGTGGTCTGTTCGGCTTATATATAAACACAGTATGTTTGGAATACATGATTCGTATTGCAGAGGCTGAGATTGGTGTTCTGGACTCAACGGTCAGGGCTAAGAAGGAAGAAGGACCGATAAGAACTGTAGAATGCTCGTACAGGTTTACACGTCATTGGTCCGATCGATAAATCACTGTTCTTTAATTGGCGTTATATATTAATAGGGCACAAGGCTACAAGTTATAAAAAAACTACACTTGTATTACTGAATACAACTAGTTAACTCAGACATATAATTATCGAAACAACAGATTACTGTTGAAATTTTGATTTTTTCTGACAGATAGTTTGAAATATCTGTTAGAATGTAGTAGAACATGATCTAAAATGAAAGAAAATTACTATATCCAAAGAATAAAATTCCCTATCTTATAATCCAAATTGATAAAAAAACATTCAGAAAATAACTTTGTCTATGAAAGAATAAAACAAAGGTATATGTTCACTTGATGTTGTTTTACTTGTAAGTTCTCATTGTTACTTAGGACTGCAATTGATCAGTCTCATGTTGGCATCCTGTGCGGATTGCCTCGATAAAGCCCTAAGTAAAATAACACCAAGTGAATTTAAACTTCACCCTATTACACAAGTAGGTGGCTCTCAGGACTCAGTAGCTAAGTGGATATCGCGATGGTATTTGAACCGAGTCCTGGAGTGAACACGAACTTTGGGATGCAGGTACATCAAGCTGACGAGTCCTAAATAGAACGAAACGCGCGTCCTGGATTCCACTACTAGCCACTATCCATCTTTGCTTAAAAAGGTTTATATTATGACATTGTATGTCGATGAGCTGATTTCATTAAAAAGCATAATCATGATGTATGTAGATTGAAGAAGGGAATTTTAACTAATTAAAAAAATTGAAAAATATCTAAAAGTTGGGTAGAATTTAAATTATAGTCATATATTATAAAATAATGTCAGAGAATATAAAGGATGGCAAACAATCCTTACATAGTGAGTGATTAATTCCTAGAGTCCAACATTATTTCATCTAGCTTTTAATGTTGATCAATTTATACCAAATAGATTACAAATGAAATTACTAGTGTAAAATCTAGGTGTGTGTTTTCTTTTCTGTTCTCATGTCAAATAATTGGAAACAGTTGTCAGGCGACTCTTTATCTACGTTTCATATTAATCGACAATGATCAGTAAAATATATCTGTCGTTTTAAATTGACTTTCACTAATCATAAAATTTGGACGCATCTCACTTAGTATTCAAGTTGAATTAGGTTTATACAAAATAGTATGAAAATCACGAGATATAATTTAATACTATAAATATATATAATGGTATTTCCAATATCCGGTTGACTATTATTCATTTATATACAAAGACTATAACCATTGACTAACTGACGAAATTATCTGTTCAAATCAATCTATTTTCATTTATCATTATCCATAGAGTATCAAAAAAACAAAACAAATAACAGTCAACATACAAATGAATATAATAGTAGTATTGATATGATAGTTATATAAAATAATTAATCAACTATTTTCATTCATTCATTCATTCATTCATAGTTACTTCCTATTTCTTTCATTTCATTCTTTATTAAATGACTAAAAAAATTATTCATTATTCATTCATAATTTAGATTTACTCAATTCTCATACGTTTACAATAGGCATTCATATTGTTGGTTACTTTTTCTTAATGTCTGTTATGAAATCTAAAAACAAACAAACAAACAAACAAGCAAACAATCTGGACATTTTTTCAAAAATAAATAATTTCCTGAATCCCATGAAGATTTTATTAAGCCAAACGAAAAAAAACAAAAAAAAGAGAAAACGGATCATAAATAATGATCAACATAATAATACGCAATAAATAAATAATTTCCTGAAAATAAAAATAATCATGTTTTTTGGTGGAGTTTTGTTCTCTGAGCTGGATGGTTTGGTCAGAGAACAAAAACTCCACCAAAATCATCCACCTGAGCTACAAATTTTCTCTACCATCTCAAAATCATGTTTTTTTCTTAATAAAAAAATGTACTGTGAAATGCAAATTAATATATAATTATATTAGTCTTTTTCAATCCCCTATTATGGTCAGACCTATACCTTCATCATTATTGACTGATTTTTTTAAAAAATATTTCTGAAATGATGTAAGATGTAAAATACTTTTAATGTTATTATTAGTTTATAAGGTTATTGTCCGATAGAACTTCATTGATAAAGGTTTAATTTGTTAAAGAGAACATGAATAAAGATTGATGCAGAATAATATGAATTCTATTCTGTTTCATTAGGTTCTCATCAGTGGCTTAGAATATTGTGAAATCAACATTCTTGCAGATATTGATATACTTATATATACGAAGGTAATTAAAGATGAATATGTGTATTATAATGAGGTGAAGATTTCAATATAGTTAATAAGATCATAAAAAGTTTTGTTTCGGATAAATAAAGCTTGAGAAGGAAAGTTCTAGAACATTCAAATAGTGATTAGTAATAGAAGCGGTAGTTCCTAGATAGTTTCAAGCTATGTGCATACATCTTTTCAATGCTATTGTTCTTATTTCAAGCATTTTACACGACTGAAATTATTTAGTTTGGCTTACTATTCATAGGCTTTTTTTCCAGAGTGTACACAACTTTGTGTTGGCTTTCATATACATTAGTTTAACAAGTGATACATTAACTTACAGTATTATTCATTCGAGAAACCGATTTATGGGACTACTAACGTAAAATTATATCATTGTTATGTCACACTATTGGACATTATTTGACGTTTATTCAAATAGAACATTATCTCACATTCAAATAATATACTAGTTTTTAAACCTCTGTGATCACATTTTATATTATTCACAGTATAATAATTCTTATCCAAAGATCTAGTTTTCATGGTGCAAATTACACAATACTTTCACACAAAAAATTTGAACTTATTGTCTATTTTTGTCAGTTTCCAAGTGGTCCAATTAATAAATTCGATTTAATAATTCAATGCACATCAGATTTTATTTTACCAGTTAGCTTGTAATATTTGAAAATCTTTTAATGAATAATAAACAAATTAAATCTATCGTAACTTAACAGTTTAGTGCATAACAATATGACTTTTAACATGTGAGAATTACGTTGAAATTTTGATGAGAACACCTACAGTACTGGAATGTAAGTGGATCCAGCTGAATAGCAAAATGATAAGTATTCTATATTCTAATATTAGCAACTAATGTGAACAATAATAATATGCTACTTAGTCACTTACGCTTGTTAACCCTCATGGAGGAGCATGAGCCGTTCATCAACATTCTCCATTCATCTCTGTCCTGGACGATCCTTTCGATTTGTTCCCGGTTACCACTTCTTCTCTCGATGTCTGTTTCCAGTTCTCAGAGTAGTGTGTTCCTTGGTCTCCCTTTTTTCCGCTTCCCTTCACGATTCCAAGATAGAACTTGCCTCATGATGCAGTTGGATGATTTACTCAATGTCCTATCCACTTCCAACGTCTTTCTCTAATTTCCTCTTCAGATGGAAGCTGGTTTGTTTCCTCCCATGGTATTCGGTCAACGGATATTGAGTATCTTGAAAAGACAGTTATTTATAAATGCTTGAACACTTCCGATTATGAATGTATTAGTTCTCAAAGTTTCCACTCCATACAACAGAATTATCTTGATGTTCGTATTGGAGATTCTAACTGATGTTGAATGACAGTTGTTTTGAGTTGCATATGTTCTTCAACTGTCCCGGACTGAACACTGTCTCTGTGGTTCAGGTATGTCCAGTGCATACAGGGTTCCACCGTTAGCCACCATCCAGCTCTAGTCAAAATCTGTTATATTTTATACGCCTCAGATTTGAATATATTAGCGAACTGTTTCGGTAAGTTATTTGTGTTCTTATGTATTATTAGTTAGTCAAAGAATAACTTTCACTAGTATACATATATTTTTCACATGAACGAGTTCCGATAATAAACGTTAAAGTTTTACTTTTAGTATAAAATAAACCGTATTTTCTATTTCATTTTCTCCCAACAGGTGATCATCGTAGATCCGGAGGGCACGATTATCGTCGTCACACATCTGGACATATACATTCATCTGATTCACATCCACGTACATTTAGCGGAGGTGCAACACATAGTGAAGTTGGTGAAGGCGGCGTAGGCGGTCTTGTTGGTGATAGTCACGGTGGTCATTCATTCGGTGGTCACGAACAAGGCGGAGTAATGGATGCTACATTCATCTGGAAATTAACTAAGCTTGGAAGAATTGGATCATCAAGGCTACGATTTGATGATGATTTTGCTGATAGACTTAACTATCAGTATACTGGGGTATTGATGTTTCTTTTCATTGGTCTTATTGGGATTCGACAATATGTTGGTAAGCAAATCTATTTTATATAACTGAGTTTATGGGTCATTTTTAAACCCTCTTTTTTACTTACAATGAAATCTGTAACTAAAAATCGATACCAGTTGTGATAATGAGTAAAAATAAAATTATTGCTAATTCAAAAGTATTTATGAAAATTATGGTTAATGGTTAAGGTACTATTAGTACGGGGTTAAGGAGATTATTAAGTTTTTGATTGAGATCATGAGCTAATTGATTTTGGACCACCATTAAAAACCTGGAAGCACTGGACAGCCGTGTCGCCGTATTGTGGGACTCCTCAGCAGTGCGCGTCCACGATTAATTAAATTACTGAGAATTAGGTAGTTATAATATTCAAGAATGTTAACCAATAAGTGAATGAGTTAAAATACATGTATTACATAATATCCGGTTGTGTAACAAGAGAGAGAGCGATGTTTTAGTTAACCAAGAAGGGGAATTTGTTTTATCGATTCATCATTGTGACATAGATAAAGTCTGTTACGATAAATGCAGTCCATTTCAGCTGTATAGAAAATGAATGTACGTAAACCGTAGATTGATTCTAATGAAATACCATGGATAACTTGAAAAACCTCAGTCACATTCATTTGATGCTTTCTGTAAATCCACTGAGCTGGTATAGACCTCGTAATTATTATTAATTGTTCTACACTGATGTAAGTTGGATGGTATTCAATAATTCCCTAATAGGTTTATCTAATTATTTATTCAATATGACTAGACTTAATAGGAGCAAATAACTTGTGAAATAGACAAAGTTTATCTTCATCTTTATTTATATGTATGTAAAATAAATTATCTTAATATAAATATTTCAAATTCATAATTATCTATATGATTAGTAACGAATAATTACAGGAGTCATTCAAAGATTAAAGACAATATGCCAGTTTTAATGTACTAAAGATAATTCCACTAATTAAAGCTCTCATTCCCCAAAATAACATTATTTATGTCTAATGCTAAGCTTTGTATACAACTATTATCTGCTTTTGTTAATAACAAAATATATGATATTTTGAACAGTTTAATATAATTTACATTCCACAGGTTGAAATCATGAGTCAACTGAAGCTAGACCAACATGGAAAACCTGGAAGTACTGAACGGCCGTTTCGTCCTAGTATGGGACTCCTAAGCAGTGCACATCCACGATCCGCGCGAAACCAGTAGGTCCTGGGTTCGAATCCCGCGGGGTGCGGGATCGTGGATACACACTGCTGAGGAGTCCCATACTAGGACGAAACGGCCGTCCAGTACTTTCAGGTTTTCCATGGTGGTCTAGCTTCAAATGACTCATGATTTCAACCTGTGAAATTTCTAAAAAAATCTCCACAAACCCATTCTGATAATAATTTGCATTCATGAATTTAAACTTTCATAATCAAATAAGAGTATCATGAAATGAAGTAAAATCATTTCTTTTTGTACGTTCGTACTTAATAAGACAATTGATGGATAAAATGTTTTAAAAATGTCATTTTAGTGTGTAACATTTATAAATTCATTTAGTTTCATAGTGAAAAATATAGATGAACGAATTGAGCACGAGAAAGCGAGAGAGGGGGAGACCATCACGTAATCGTGAACAAGAAACGGGTAGAATTTGTAATGACTGAATCTCTATATTCCGAGTTATAACCATATTTCAATGAATTCATCTAGTTCAAAATAAATTTTTAGTATGTATCCGTCTACTGAGTCATTTCAGAATGCATTAAAAGTATTTACTTAATGTCTTTTTAAAATCATTTACATTGCTTATCACTTGTATTAACATATCCGTTATTGTCATTGTATACTAGAGAATTGTAAATTTACAATATTTAACAAACAAATTTCATTCTGTTTTCACAACATTCAGAGTATTTTGTAAAAACGACTAACTGTTTATTTGCTGGTAGTATAACCACACTTATTATAAAATGTTTAAGTCCTTTTGTCCGTTAAGCCTAACATATTATTACACAAATAGATAACTTTCTCATCATAAGTGTAACACTTGATGTAACTTTGAGTGTAAATGTTTTACTTTATTCATCTACAGTTAATCATAACGTTTTCGGGGTTTACTAATTGTGTCATATACACCATTTTGTGTAATTTCTCAGTTTGTTTATTGCATAGTTGCTGAATATTTTAAAAATTGTAATGCATATTTGATTTTAAGCTCTGAAGTTTATTATATTACAGTTTTTATCCACCTTATCAGTATGCATTACATCGAACATGTTCACAAGTGACATAGGCGGGACCCACAAAATTTTTGAAATGAAATCTTTAGTGGAAATTACACTATAATATGCACGGATTCTCTTCGCTAAATAAAAAGAAATATGACGTAAAGTGTCAAGTTCGATATCATTCGTGAACATTACAAAACGTTTTAGATAATTACAGGTTTACTGAACATTAGTTTATATATTTAAATTCATCGCCAATTAGTTGTCAATCAATCAGATTACAGCAAAGATAAACACATAAAAGGAAACAGAATAATACATTATTCTAAGACAAAAGTCAACAAGCCAATTCCAAAATTCCAGAAAAGCAAAAAACAAGTTCCATTTTTTTCAAAATAGAAAATGATAGACAAACAATGTTTAAAATGAAATCTAGTTGATCCCCAAAAACATAGTAACTATATATGTATTGCCGGTTACTTGACATCACTAACAAGTGAGAGAGAGAGAGAGAGAGAAGGAACTAACAATCAGTCGGATTCCTGTTTTGTAAAAAAATAACAAATAACTGGAGAAAATTAAAAAGACAGTCAAATAAAGTACCGTTTTACTACTAATTTTAAATGAGAAGTAATACTTTAACATTAAGTTTAACTCTTTCTTTTTTAAAAAAATGACCTGATATTTTTCACTCCGTGATCTCACTGAATAAATTTTACCATAGTAAAGCTAACAATATCGGTGTTGGTTGTTAAGTGATATAAAAAGGATAAATCATTAATAATCATGTCGGTGTACTGAAATATTTGATAGAAAGAAATGAATAGAACGAGAGAGAGGGAGATAGAGAGAGAGAGAGAGAGAAAGAGGTAAAGTGAGTGAATAATTTGATATGAAATTGTAAATTAACTTGTTTTTTTTTCTTTATCTAACATATTTCTTACATTCAAAAGGAATGTATGTTAGTACTTTATAAAACAAGAATAATTAGTCGTTACCATCATTATTATTACTATTACTATTACTATTAATATGAGTATTATTATTTTCTTAATATGAAAAGTCAAGCGTGAAAAATTATTTGATTTAGAAAGAATAAATCTTATTCATTTCAATTTATTGAGAATATAAATCATCGGTTGTATAGACAGATAGATAGGTAGGTAGATATTGTTTTCTGTTTAGTACATTCTATTCATTTGTCATTAATTTGAAATGATTTAGATACATATATATGTGTATATATAGTTATGAAAACGTTGAGTAACAAAAGAAAAGAATGACAGAGACAGAACTAAGCTATACAGTATTGATATAAATATTTTGAAATTTATTTTATGCATGCATAGTTTTAATACATTTGAAAATGAAGAGACGTTGAGAAAAATGTTGAAGCTTAGCCTTAGAATCGTCAACAAGGTCTATCTAGACGTAAAATGTATTGAGGTTAAATAGATGAAGATAATTGACATAAAAGTCTAAAGATTAGTTAGTACAGTGTGTCTATAGAAATGAAAGGATATGTACTCTTTTCAGTGAGTTCAATTAATTGCACTGATTCAGAGACATTACATTTCACATTGTTAACTGAAATCTGTATCAGTGTTAGTACGTCACTTATTGGTAAAGCATATTCACGTCCTCACCTTCAGGTTTCGTCATGATTCATGGGCATTTAAACGACTTACTTGGAATTCAAAAGTTTACACGTCGAAATTCAATCATTTTGTAATATTGAGTGACTGTCTTCCATTGCCTAAGGTGGACGCAATTCCAGAAGTTCTAGTGAGAAGCTGTGACTAGCAAAGCTTAACCATGTGAGTTATTCACTTCAAGTATAGAGGTTAAGATCTAAGCGTCCTGAGTTTGGTCCACTATGTTGGAGTCATGGATGTGCTCCATCAAACTGTCCCATACTTGAATAAAATAGCAGTTCCATATTTCCTGGTTTTAAATAGTTGTCTAACTATGATCATGCTGTGCTGTAAATTAAAAAAAATTTGAGAGATCTATTCTGAAATGCATGTACATAAGAAAACATTATGGAAACTTCTACGACACTGGAGTTTTTGAGAAGATTGTCAACACTATCTGGAACTCACACGACTTACTACAGTGCAAAGTGGTGCATGGAGGAGGCCTGACTGATGCATTCCAATTAAGGCTCTGAGTCAGAAAACGCCGTCTACTCTCTCTCTTCCTCTTTCTGCTGGTGGTCGACTGGATTATGGAAACCTCGACATCTGAAGGGGAAACACGGAATGCAATGGATAGCTCAGAACCAATTAGACGAATTAGACACCACAGATGACCTAGCTCTCTTATCCCATACACACAAAGAAATGTAGATGAAGACAAGTAGTGTAGCAGCAGCCTCTGCATCAGTAGGCTCCAACATACACAAAGGAAGAACCGAAATCCCCAAATGCAACACGGAGAACACTAACCCAATCACACTTAATGACGAAACTCTGGAAGATGTAAAATCCTTGACATACCTGGGAAGCATCATCGATGAACAAGAAGGATCAGATGCAGACGTAAAGTCAAGGATTGGAAGACCAAAGACAGCATTCTTACAATTGAAGAACATATGCAACTCAAAACAACTGTCTATCAACCAATATCAAAGTCACAATCTTCAATACGAACGTCAACACAGTCAGTTCTACAGTACGGAGCTCAGACTTGCAAAGCCACTACAACCATCATCAAGAAAGTACAAGTATTTATCAAAAATTGTCTACCCAAGATACTCAACTAACATTGGCCGGATACCATCAGCAACAGCCTACTGTG